TTGTGATTGTAACTTAGATCACTTGATTTTGGGTGGCATCCATCAGCTGTCTATATTAAAGTTACTGTTTTCTTTGTAATTTATAATTTGTTGGGGAATACTTTGAGAATGTATGCATATTGTTGTTAAACTTCTGTTTGTTTTCGTTTTGGGGATTGTTCCTGAACATGTTTAGGGGCTACTCCTGGCTCTGTGTTCAGTGATCACTCCTGGTGGTGATTAGAGGGACCTTATGTAGTGTCAGGGATCAAGCCCAGGTGCACTGTGTGCAAAGCAGGTGCCTGATTTGCAGTGCACTTTTTTTTTCAAAAATTTTTCTGCTGCTTTTTAGTTTCCATTGATGGCTCGTGTGTGTGTGTGTGCGCGCGCGCGCGCGTGCGTGCGTGTGTGTGTGTGTGAATATTTTTAGGTTTCTTTGTGCTTTAAATTTTTTAGTTAATTTTTTAAAAATTATTGAAGTGCTGGGGGTATTGATGATTCTTAAATTGAAACAATAGGTAAGGGGCTGGAGCAATAGTACTATAGGTAGGGCCCTTGCCTGCAGAACCAGATTTGATTCCCAGCATCCCATTAACCCATATGGTTACTTAAGCAGTGCCAGGAGTAACCACTGAGCATTGCCAGGGGTGGCCCCAAAATCAAAAAAAAGGAAAAAAAAAAGAAATATTAAGTATGAGCTCATGTTCTTTTATTAATTACTAATTAGTGTATAATCCCTTATTAACGTTATTCCTGATTTGGCCATTGGAGGCTCCCTTTAAACTGACCCATGAGCAATTAATTTGTCCCCATCTTCTTGGAGCACGTTCTATTTTCTGATGCAGCAAAATTTTCTAGGCTCTTCCTGTACTTTTCCTACTGCAAAAAAGTAGTCATTCATCCAAGGAAATCTGATTCATTTTCAGTGATGAATATGATATTTGGAAATCAAGACCTAGAACTAGATTGCTTCTCATTCCCTAGTACTTTAGTCATCTCTGCTACCCCAGGATTCTACTACAGTCATTATTATGTCAGGGTTCTGACGTGGAGTATGTTGTGGTTTTGTTCTTCCATTTCCTCCCCAATGCATTAGTATTTGGAAACATTCTTAGGTTGACCTTGGACCTCTGACTACTTTTGGACTAGTCCAGTTACCTGAAAATTCTTAAATGTTGGAGGAAAGTGGATGTTCAGGTATAGGGTGCAGTTTTTCTGTGGACAGCGAGCATATATTATCTCAAAATCGGGTCCTGCCCTTTTCACTAATTCTTTTGCTATTAAAGTTATATTTTTCTAAACTAAAATTTAAAAATGTTAATGTAGGTATGGCAGTTAACAACCACTGCTTTTATATGTTCCTTATTTTGCTTTTGGGTTTGTTTGTTTGTTTTATTTTGGGGCCACACCCAGCAGTGCTCAGGTGTGCTGGGGGACCATGTGGGATGCCGGTGGTCAAACCTGAGTTGGCTGCATGTAAGGCAAGTGCTGTACCTACTGTACTATCTCTATAGCCTGAGTTTTGTTTTTTTCTTAATATGTGTTCAGTTTGGAGGGCTGGAGCGATAGCACAGCGGGTAGGGCGTTCGCCTTACAAGCGGCCAACATGGCCGACCCGAGTTCGATTCCTCCACCCCTCTCGGAGAGCCCGGCAAGCTACCGAGAGTATTCGATATGCCAGACACAGTAACAACAAAGTCTCCAACGGAGACGTTACTGGGCCCGCTCGAGCAAATCGACGATCAAGGGGAGGGCCTTTACCTTACCTTACCTTATTTAATATTTATTGCAAAAGAATAGTTTAAGGAATCAGGCTGTAGGAAAATGGAAATGTTTACTCTTTGTAGCTTTGTACCAGTTCTTTGTAGAGTTTTTACCTTATGAATCCTTACTATATCTAGTTCCTTAATCCTACAGAAAGAACCTGAGATTTATAGCAGAAGCAAAAAAAAAAGTTTTACATTTTTCCCCTTTTGTTGTTGCAGTCACACACCCTGATGATGATACTTTTGCATATTTCAGTTGTGGTGCCCACACACATTTGGTTGCGTTTGCTGGAGATCACACACTTTCCTGTGTTACCAGGGATCCCAACAGGCAGTGTCACTGCGATAACACTGGGCCCCTGAGAGTAACATCGAAAGTCACACTTGCAACCTCATCCCTGCGAGGCAGATGCTGGCCACTAAGCACTCCTCAGGCCCCTGCAGTTTATGAGTATTTGATTGCAAGACCTATCAATTTGGTTGTTAGAGTCCAGGTTTCTGAACTTGCCTATTAGAATATGTCAGTTGTGCATGACAGAGGTAATTGGGTCTATAGTACCTTTCTGGAATTTCCATTTTAGGAATGTGGCTAAAGTGCTTTTGCTTCAGACATCTGATAATTTTCCAAAGGATTAATCACTTGATGACCAAGAAGAGAATAGAAGGATAAGATGCGTTGGGGTTTTTGTTTGTTTGTTTGTTTTTAAGTGTTCTTGTGTGCTCGGTTCCCTTGAGTATCTGGTTCCGGAAGCTCAGCTAAAGGCATGGAGAGTCACTGCCGTCGGCGAGAGGTTCTCACAGTTTGAATTCAGGCTCGGCCCTTGTTTACTAGGCTAACTTGTGTTCTTGGCAGAGAAACAGAAGGGTTAGTCAAGCAACGAGATACAAATTCAAATCACTAATTTTCCACCTCCTTTCCCATTAACCTTTTCCTCTCAATGAACTCTCTACCACTATTGGTTATACTGGTTATATTTTTCAAAATAGGCAAATTTTATAATAGCAAGGCCAGAAAAAGAAATGAATGGTACTGCATAAAAGTTTTAAAGCAATCACAAGATCATACAGTCAAGGAACACACAAGTATATTTATCTAATATTTGGTTATCAAACAACTGTGGAATCTGTCAAGATGTGTTGAGACTCTTCTCTGCCACTCAGCTTCCTGCTTTTAGGAAGGCTCCGACTTCCCAACACCCCATCGGACCCTCTCTTCATGGGGAGTGAAGTCAACTCTCCTTGAGCCCCACTTGCCCCTTGGGGGCACCACAACAGTGCTCAGGGCTTACTCCTGACTGAACTCAGGAAAGGTTACGTTGTTTCTAAGCAGCCTTGTAAAGACACTCATGTTGACCCCTCGCAGCATGAGGCTAGTCAGTGCTGGCCCCAGACGGGAGCACTGGCCAGGCAAGCCATTCACAGGCTCTCCCCAGTGAGTGAATCTTCTCCCCCCGAATTGAATTTTCTGAGACTTTTAACATGGCATTCATTTGCTTCCCAATATAAAAGCAGTCGGTGCCTTTTCTCCACAGAGAAGTGGAAACCCAGCTAATAAGCAGAGATTTTAAAAAAATAAAATGATGAATTAGCCAGTCATCCATTCACTAATCCTACCAGTTTTTGATGGTGAGATGCTAAGCTTCAGCTTTTTATCCAGAACACACCTGTGTATGAGCCTGTACGCATGTTCATTCCTATGTAGAGACAGTGTGCATCTATATGCATGCCTTTTTCCTTGACCTGATTAAGGCACCATGATTTATAAAGTTGTTCATAGTAGAACTGTTTCAGGCACACACTGTTCTTTCCACTATGTGCCCAGGTTTCCTCCTGCCCCCTTGGTAGGTATTGAACAAATTTACTATATGTTGCTTGCTACAACCAGAACTTAAAGGAATGGAGACCTAGCTATAATAAAATACAGCAATAAAATTAATTTTGTATTGTTTGATTACTATATGATTTTAACGTACGTAAGGGGATTAAAATCACTTAATATAATAAGAATACTGCCTTCTCTCATTTACATAAATATGTTTTCAATTCTGGCATCTAAAATATATTGCATTAAATTTTATTTTGTAGTCTGATCTCTCGGGCCAGAGCAAAAGCACAGTGGGTAGGGTGTTTGCCTTGCATGTGGCTGACCCGGGTTCGATTTCTCCGCTCCTCTTGGAGAGCCCGGCAAGCTACTGAGAGTGTCCCGCCCACATGGCAAAGCCTGGCAAGCTACCCATGATGTATTCAATATGCCAAAAACAGTAATAACAAGTCTCATAATTTGTTGTGAGACGTTACTGGTGCCTGCTCGAGCAAATCTATGAACAACGGGAGGACGGTCCTACAGTGCAGTGCTTGTTTTGTTTTAAGATTTTTTCAGTAGCATTTTAACATCAAAACAATTAAAATGGTACACTTTTGCTTTTTGGATTTTGAGCTACATCAAGCAGTAGTAGGGATTATTCCCAGCTCTGTGCTCAGATATGGCTCCTGGCAGTGTGTGGGGCACTGCAGTGATCAGAGATTGAACCAGGGTAATGTGCATGCATGCACCTTGACCTCTATACTCTGTCCGGCCCCATAAATATTTTATACTGCCTTCTCTCTACATTCAAGTATAATTTTCAGAGAATTCTAGTGTTACATGATGTTAATGATAGTAGAAATAGCCGGAATTTATAAAGTAGTTACTAAGAAGTAGACATTATTCTAAGTGCTTTCCTCATACTACCTCCCAGTAGCTCTCTATAGCATAGGTACTATTAATCTCTTTTTGAAGCTGAGGAAGTAATCTTGTAACTTGTCCTGTCAGTCACATAACTGAATAAGGAGATAATCATGTAGGAACTGAAATAGAGGCACTCTTGTTCTCTTTGTGCCATGTGGAATGCATTGTTTCAGTTTGTGTTTTTGATGCTGTACCCTGGGGTCACTCCCACAAGTGCCTGGGGGATCCTGTGGTGTCGGTGATGAAACCCAGGCCTCCTGCATGAAAGCTTGCTCTCTCGGCTGTTTTGCTATCTCTCCAGCACTCAGATGCAATGTTTTAATGAAAATATTTTGTTGCTCATGTTCTTTGATTGTCTTTAACATATATGTATATATGCCACAGTACTGAATCCTCTACAAAGCTTTCTTATGTTTATCTCTTATGAAATTCAAATGGTATTTGCTATTTTCTGTCCGCCATAGAACTTGTGCAGTATAGCAGATCTTACTAGTCAATTCTACTTTTTTTTTTTTTCTCCACCTTAGTCTTAATTTTAAAGATCCTGAAGCAGTTCGAGCTCTGACATGTACTCTTCTGAGGGAAGATTTTGGACTTTCTATTGATATTCCGTTGGAAAGACTAATTCCCACAGTTCCCTTGAGACTCAACTATATTCACTGGGTGGAAGATCTGATCGGTCATCATGACTCTGACAAAAGTACTCTCCGGAGAGGAATTGACATAGGTACTGACATTTATTTATGCAACTAACTGTAACTTAAAATTCTTTTTTGTCCTAATTTAACTTTCTTAAATTTGCAAGGTCAAGTTTGCCATAACCGTCTCTTCTGAGCATCTGGATTGTGTGAAAGAATCTAGTTAGAGGGGCTGAGAGATTGTAGGGTGGGTCAGGTGCTTGCCTTACACACAGCCAACCCATATTTCATCCTTAGCACCCCATATGGTCCCCCTGAGCCCACCAGGAGAGATGCCTGTGAGCAGAGCCAGGGATAAGCCCTGAGCCTAGCCGGATGTGGCCCCAAAACAAAACAACAACAGAAAAGCATCTAGTTACAGATATTACTGATCTTATTAGCTATAGCTGGCCTTTTCTGCTATTGATTTCTTTTAAGAGGAAGGGATTGTCTGCATCAAATCTCAAGAAAAGAAGTACAGAATGGCAACGGGGGAGAGAGTTTCCAGAGCTGGAGTGTGTGCCTCACAGGTGCTGTTCTGATGCTCCTGCTGCTGCTGCTATGACTAGAGCAGCATCTGTGCTTGGCCATGATGCTCACACATTAGGTTGTGGTGCTCAGTTAGGGTTCAGCTCCTTTGCTTGTGCTGTTTGCTGGGAGTCACACTCTTAAATTTGATGCTTTTGCTCAATCTTGCTGTGGTGCTTGCCAGGATTGCTGTGGTGTTCACACGCATACGTGCCAGGGTGTGTACTTCCTGACTGTGAAGCTCACATTCTCTTTTAATGGTGGTCATTGAGGGTTGCATCTCGTTAAGTTGTATTTCTCACACATACCTGCCTGTAATACAGCTGGAATCTGATGAGAGATAGCAGAGCTGCCCAGGCCCACATTTGACACATATGGCACCACTGGGCGTTGAAAACACTCACATGTACAGGGCAGGCACTTTATTTTTCATTTCTACTCTATTTTTGTTTAGGGGCTATGCCTGGCAGTACTCAATGCTTTCTCCTGACTCTGCACTAAAGGGTCAGTACAGTCTAAGTGACAGTCTCTACAGTAACTCCTCAGCTACTCTCTATCCTCTCTATTGCTTCTGTAGTTCATGTACCAGAAAATATGCCAAGGTTCATTATCTGATCACTTCTTTACTACTTTAAAGTGGTAAGGGAGGAGCGATAGCACAGCAGTAGGGCGTTCGCCTTACAAGCGGCCAACATGGCCAACCCGAGTTCGATTCCTCCGCCCCTCTTGGAGAGCCCGGCAAGCTACCGAGAGTATTCGATATGCCAGACACAGTAACAACAAAGTCTCCAATGGAGATGTTACTGGGCCCGCTTGAGCAAATCGACTATCAACGGGAGGACCTTTACCTTTGCCTTTTACCTTATCTTTACTACTTTAATGTTCTGCTATTGCTGCTCTGATAGAAACCTTGATAGGAAACTAAAATCTTAATCTGGCCTATTAGAATATCTGTTGTCTGCTCTCATACCTCTCTGTCTTCTTTTATACACATTAGTCCAATGCAGCATCACCACATAGGTCTCTATATGTTATTCCCTCGGCCTGAGACTTCCTTCACTTCCACCTTAGTAAATCTCAATTATATTGTAGTTGTCAACTGTCCTTATTTTCATTATTTAATTATTTGGTTTTGGGGCCACACCTGGCTGTGCTCAGGGCTTACTCCTGTTTCTGTGCTCAGGGATCACTTCTGGCAAGACTCATATGAAGTGCTAAAGATCGAACCTGGGCCAGATGTCTCAGAGCCAGCGCCCTATCCACTCTACTATCTCTCTGACTTCATGTTCTTATTTTCTTAGGAAAGCCTTTTCTGATCTTCTAACATGACATGTTTGATTCTTATTTTTTTACTTCTTGGGGAAGCCATACCCACTAGTGCTTGGGCAACTTCTAGCTCTGTTCTTGGGTGTCATTCTCTGCAGTTTTGGGGGACCTTATGGTTCTGGGAATCAATCCTATGTCTTCCACATGTAGAGTATGTGTTCTGCCCTTCAAGCTGCCTCTCCATCCCACAATAGATTTCCTAATTATGAGCTTCAGAAAGCCTTATTTCTGGGCAGGTAAGATAGTACAGCGGGTAGGGCACTTGGCTTGCACGTGGCCAGCCTGGGTTTAATCCCCGGCATCCCGTATAGTCCCCAAACACCATGAGGAGTGATTTTTGAGTGCAGAGCCAGTAGGAACCCTGTACATCACCAGGTGTGCCCCCCAAAAAAAAAAATAAAAAAGAGGAGAAAAAAGAATACAAAGACTTATTCCTTGTCTTTTTGTTTTTGATTTTAGCATCTGCTCAACCCATTAAGATAACTCTTTGTGCCCTTGATTGAAATCTTTTTAACCATTAGATAAAAAGCACAAGGCCAAAGGCCAAGCAGTAGTACAGAGGCTTAGAGTATTGGCTTGCACAGGTTCAACCCAGGTTCGATCCCTGCCATCCCATATGATCCCCCAGCACCGCTAGGTGTGACCCAAAAAGCCAAAAACAAACAACCGCAGGGCCTGGTTTTTTTTTTTTTAACAGGTTGGGGGCACACATGTCAATGGTCAGGGGTTACTCCTGGTTCTGCACCTAGGAATTACCTAGGAATTACTCTTGGCGGTGCTTGGGGGATGCTAGGGATCAGACTAGGGTCAGCCTCAAGCAAGGCAAGGACTCTCCCTCCTGTACTATTGCTCTGGCCTATTACTATTTGCTTGCTCTAATATTTCATGATCAAGAAAATTTTCACACACATAATAGGTATATAATAAATAATATATTGAATGATTCATTGACTAGATTCAGCATTCAATTTTTAAATAAAGCATGCAACATTCTGACTACCCCATGTAAATGTAACCTTTGTATAAAAATAAAGCCCTTTTGTGTGTATTGCAGAAGATTGACTGAAGGGTATATAAAAAAGTTGAGAATACATTTGATACTAATTTATTTTATTTCTGCCCCAAATGTTCTAAAATAGCGCATGGGGATATAGGAGGTTAATGGATTTTCACTCTTCACAGGGGCACTCTTGCTGGAATCATATTCATTCTAATTAGGGTTTGATATAAATTCTTCCCCCAGACTCTATAAGTTTGCTCTAATTCTATAATTATAAGCTTTCCATTTTTATCTCATTGCAATGACGACTCATTTCTAAGTTATTTAGCTTCCTGAGTGAATTAGATGTTAGAACACAAGTCCTTGGTTTTTAAAAATTGAGAAATGACATCAAAACCACAATGTTAGTACTAAATTAACCATGTTAATAAAGTTGATGACATCAGGGGTGAGAAACTGGATCAAGGTGTGACTCAGTGATAGGGTGGGATTCGTCCCTGGTACCAATTGTTTATTTCCCCCGACTTCTCCAGTGTCAGAAATGACCCCAAATAACAAGCTCCACTGAATCTGGACCAAAAATTCAACACCACTCCTCCCCCCTGCCATCCAAAAGAATGAGAATATTCCAGCACCTGTCCCTTCACCATGTACATTTCCCATCACCATTGTGCACAGTTGGAACATTATATGACTGAAACCCAGTCATGATCAACTTTGTAACTGTATCTCACTGTGATTCTTTTTTTTTTTTTTTTTTGCTTTTTTGGGTCATACCCGGCGATGCACAAGGGTTACTCCTGGCTCTGCACTCAGGAATTACTCCTGGCGGTGCTCAGGGGACCATATGGGATGCTGGGAATCGAACCCGGGTCGACTGCATGGTAGGCAAACGCCGTACCCGCTGTGCTATCACTCCAGCCCCTGTGATTTAATCTTTTTAAAAGAATGAAAATATTAATGAGGAAAGAAAAACACAAACAAGCAAATAGTTCTTTAAAATAATTTTTTTTTTTGGTCACACCCTGGCTCATGCACTCAGGAATTACTCCTGGCAGTGCTCAGGGAACCATATGGGATGCTGGGAAACGAACCTGGGTCGGCTACGTGCAAGGCAAATGCCCTCCCCTCCCCTGAAAGAATTCTTAGGTGGTAGGTATAAGATGAGCCTGAGTTAATGTCAGTAACCTCCACCTTTTCCAATTAGATCTTTCGTGAAACCAAGATATAATTGGGGAAAGCACACCTGGTATGACTGATATGGCAAACTTCTAGGCCTTTAGTAGAAACACAGGCTTTTCCATCAATGATTATCCTCACATCAGGGAGAATGCTCATATCATAAAGGCCAGAAAGAGGACCAGAGTGATATTACAGTGGGTAAGGCATTTGCATTGCACACATCCCACCTGGGTTCAACCCCAGCAACCCATAAGGTCCACTGAGCACTGCCAGAAGGGATCCTTGAGCACAGAGCAAGGATTAAGTCCTGAGCAGCACAGGGTGTTGCCCCCCAAAACAGAACAAAAAACAAGGGGAAAAAAACAGTGCTGGCAAGGATGCCATGAAAAGGAACTTTCGTTATTCACTGTTGGAATTTTAATCTGGTTCAGCTTGTATGGAAAACAATCTGGAGACTCTCAAAAAGCTAAAATTAGAACCACCTGTCATCCAGTAATTCTGCTCTTTGTTGGTATCTATTCCAAGAACACAAAAACACTAATTTGAAAATACATGTGTACCCTTGTCTTCACCATGCTGAAAAAGCCAAGATTAAACAGCCCAGCTGCCCAAAGGCAGATGAGTAAAGGAGAACTTTATAGTATAAAGGCCAGAGATGATGCTCCCAGTGATACAGCAATGTGCCTTGCACGTTCAAAGGATTCATCCTTCTCACCACATGGTTTCCGCAAGCAGCACCAGAGGTAGCTGTGGTGGTTTCTGATCTCTGTCAGCCTTCTGAGCACTGATCCCCCACAATAATAGCAGCAACAGCAATGAAACAGTTTTGGACCGGGGTTATGACTCAGTAGTAAAATTTCACAATTGCTTTCACAAGACCCTGGGTTTGATCTCCAGTACTACACACATTCAAAGAACAGCAGAGGCCAGATGGATTCTATGGTGGTACTTGCCTTGTAGGTGGCCAACCCAGATTCAGTCCCCAGCACCACACATGGTTCCTGGAGCTCCACCAGGAGGATGCCATGAGCACCACTGAGTGTGGCCCCCAGACCAGGGTGGGGGGACCCAAAAACGAATGGACTCATTCTCCCCCCGGAGATTAGCTCACATCTCAACCCAAAATGTGTACTCTTGGCTTTCCTCTCTGGTAAAGTGCCTGTTCTCTCCTCAGCATGTATCTCTGCTTCTGTCCTCTCATTTCTTAAATAAATTTCTTTCTTTCTTTCTTTTTTTCTTTTTGGGTCACACCCAGCAATGCACAGGGGTCAACTCCTGGCTCTGCTCTCAGGAACCACTCCTGTTGGTGCTCAAGGGACCATACGGGATGTTGGAAATCGAACCTGGGTCGGCCGTGTGCAAGGCAAACGCCTTACCCGCTGTGCTATCACTCCAGCCCCAAGTAGATTTCTTTTAATAAAACTTTTATATCACCAAAAAAATTTTAAAAAACCGGGAAGAGAGATTATGCTATGTTTACACAATGATGGTTTATTGTTCACTTACCTGAAAAGGTAAAATTTGGGATTTTGCTGCAGAATGGCTAGAACTAGAAAGGTGTCATGTTTGGTGAATAAGTCAGAAGGAGAAAGGCAAATACAAGATGATCTCATTCGTATGTGATGCATTAAAAATCAAAGCAAGGGTATAGACAATGGCCAGTGAAAACAAACCTTTAGACTCTGGTAACAGAATTGAGGTTGCCAAGTGAGGGAAGATGGAAGTGGGAGGCTGGAGCTAGAAGGAACTAGGGACTGTGGTAGAAGAATATGGACACCTTGGTGGCAGGTGTGGTATAGTAACTTTTAGCCCTAAAGCATCATTATTAATGCTTTTGTAAACCATGATACCGTAATAATAATAATAAAAAAACAAAAGAAATCATAGTACATGATATAGAGACATAGAGGTGGTATTCTGACTTTTTTTCCTTTTAAATAAGTTTTTCAGCATCTTATTGGCCAAGATTAGTCAATGGGTATAAAAATAGCATTTGTAAGTTAGTATGTAACCCAATTCATGGTTAGGGCTTTTACTTCCAAGTTTACAATCAAAGCTTGGTTGTCTTAGTGCTTTATGCCTGGAATATTTTTCACTGAATTTTTCCCTTGAAACGATGTGGCAAAGTGTGTGTGTGTGTGTGTGTGTGTGTGTGTGTGTGTGTGAGAGAGAGAGAGAGAGAGAGAGAGAGAGAGAAACTACTGGCAGTGCTCAGGGGACTATATGGGATGGTGGGTGTCAAACCCAGTGGACCAAGTGCAAGGCAAGCACTCTACCTGCTACACGATATTTCCAGTGCTGACAATATATTTTCTTTGTTTGGGGCCACACCTGGCAGTGCTCAGGGGTAACTCCTGGTTCTGAACTCAGAAATTACTACTGGTGGGCATGGGGGACCATATGGTGTGCCAGAGATCAAACCCGGGTTGGGTTGGCCATATGCAAGGCAAATACCCTTCCCACTGTACTATCGCTCTGGCTCCCCAAAATATTTTTGATCCACATCAAATATCTTTCTAGATGTCTAAGAAATGAATCATCTTTAGAGGTTTTTGGTTTTTATTGCCAGGGTTGTAGGGGAGGAGTTTGCGCCAAACTTAAGAGTGTTCGGGGGCTACTCCTTTTTTTTCCTCCTTTGAGACCATACCCAGCTGTGCTCAGGACTTTCTCTTGGTTCTTTGTTTATGGATCACTTCTAGTGCACTCAGGATCATGTGGGGCTCCTGTTATCTAATCTGGGTCCTCTACATGCTAGGCAAACGCTCTATGCCTCTATGCGCTGTACTATCTATCTCTCCTCCCTCAGGGCCTCTTCCTGGCTCTGTGGTCAATAGTGATCTTTATATTGCTTGGAGAGTGATGTGATGCTGGGGGTCAAACCAGGTTTGGGCCATATACAAAACAAATGCCTTATCCTCTCTCTCTCTTTCTCTCTCTCTTCATAACTCTCTTTTTCTCTCTCTCTCCCCTTCCCTCCCTCTCTCTCCCTTCTTTCCTCCCTCCCAACTCTTCTGTTTTCAGAGAATGGGATGTTCATTGATCTAAATTCCTTGATCTAATCCAGAGCTTCATCTGTGAGGCATGTTCTGTACCACCCACCTATACTCATGGTCTCTAAACAGACTCTTTTTTTTTTTTTTGCTTTTTGGGTCACATCTGGCGATGCTCAGGGGTTACTCCTGGCTCATGCACTCAGGAATCACTCCTGGCGGTGCTCGGGGGAACATATGGGATGCTGGGAATCAAACCTATGTCAGCCATGTTGGCTGCGTGCAAGGCAAACGCCCTACACGCTGTGCTGTTGCTTGCTCCAGCCCCTAAACATACTTTTAACAAAGTAAATCATACTGAGTTTGGAAATTTTTCAGTAAATTTGTCTTTTTTTTTTTTTTTGCTTTTTGGGTCACACCTGGTGATACACAGGGGTTATTCCTGGCTCTGCACTCAGGAGTAACTCCTGGCGGTGCTCAGGGGACCATATGGGATGCTGAGAATCAAACCCGGGTTGGCCGCGCGCGTGCAAGGCAAACGCCCTACCCACTGTGCTATCTCTCCAGCCCCGTCATGTACTCTCTTATTACCAGCACACTTTGTTTTAAATAACTTATAAAACAAGAGAACAGAAAGAGTTCTGTTCTCTAGGAAATTTATATCTAATTCTGAGGCAAACTGCTATACATGAAATGACTGGAGAATGCAGTAGCCATAGTTCTGTGTATAATCAGGTAACAGCTTGTGTTTTAAACTGTTAGGGCTCTAAGAATTCTAAGAATGACTTTCTCTTTTGCCCTCACCCCCACTCAACCCAAGAATGGCAGTTGTGCTTTCTGTTCTCACCTCTTTTTCAGCTATTCACATTGTGTTTTGCGTTTTTATTTCACTAGGTACTGGGGCCTCCTGCATCTACCCTTTACTTGGAACAACTTTAAATGGCTGGTATTTTCTTGCAACTGAAGTCGATGATATGTGCTTCAACTATGCAAAGAAAAATGTAGAACAGAATAATTTATCTGATCTCATAAAAGGTTAGATCTGCTAAATATATAATGCTTTTTAAACTTTATTAATAACCTTTTTGATTGGATACAACTCACCTTTTATTTATATATTCAAACTGTGTTCATTAAAGATTTGGTAGTTTGGCTTTGCTGTTTTGTTATAAAAGTAAATTACAGACAGATTTTGAAAACTACCACAGAATAACAGGTTAACATTTCTTGTTTTTTCTCCTAGTGGTGAAAGTACCACAGAAAACACTTCTGATGGATGCTCTTAAAGAAGAATCTGAAATAATTTATGACTTTTGCATGTGCAACCCTCCTTTTTTTGCTAATCAGTTGGAAGCCAAGGTAAAATATCTTCTATTTTAAAGTAATTGAATATTAAATTATCTTTGTTTGCAAAGAGAGGAGCAAAGAGCGACTTTTATTTTGGAGCCTGTATCAGGTACTTCAGGTATCAAAGACCCCCAAAACCCAGTTCAGGGCTGAGCGATAATACAATGTGGCTAGGGCATTTGTTTTGCGTGCAGCCGACCTGGGTTTGATCTCCGGCATCCCATATGGTCCCCCAAACTCACCAGGAGTGATCCCTGAGCACAGAGACAGGAGTAATTCTGAAGCATCATCAGGTATTACTCAAATGCCTACAAAATAATAATATAAAAATAAATAACAGTTCAGATTGACTTAAAAATGAAGAAAGCTCCTTGTCATTTCTTTAGTTTTTTTTTTTTAAGCCACATGCAGCAATGCTTAGGACTAACTCTTGGGGTGTACTTAGGGGTCACTTCAGAAAGGACTGAAGGATCATATGGGGTACTAGGGATCCTACCTGAGTCAGCAATAAGCCAAGTGTAATAAACCTTTCATACTGTTTCCTCTTCCAGTTCCTTGTCTTAGAGACATTCAGAGATAGTACAGACTTGATGAACAGTTTGCTCAAGAAATATGATGTGGGGGCTGGAACGATAGCACAGTGGGTAGGGCATTTGCCTTGCACGTGGCTGACCTGGATTCGATTCCCAGCATCCCATATGGTCCCCTGAGCACCACCAGGAGTAATTCCTGAGTGAAGAGCCAGGAGTAACCCCTGTGCATTGCCGTGTGTAACCCCCCCAAAAAAAAACCCCCAAAAAAAAACAAAACAAAAAAAGAAAGATAATGTAGGCTGAGGTTTTCCAGATTTCTCTTGGGTCTAACCTGGTCCTTGGTTATTTTTTTTCTCAGGCTAACTTACTTGTGACAGAGTAGTAACTCCTGTATTGGGTTTATTGACATGAAAAGGAAGTTATTGTTTTGTTTTGTTGATTTTTAGACCATAGCTGACAGTTCCTAGGGACCACTTCCAACTCTGTGCCTGGGGGTCACTTTGTGCTCAGGATACCATCTGGTGCTTGGGGTCCAACCCCAACCTTTCCTTGCATTCAGCTCATTAAGCTGCTGCTCCAGTCCCCAAAGGTCATTTTTATTGCCACCTGCCGCTTGTTAGTAAATAAATATTGATTTGGTCTTCATAACTTAAGTTTTTAAAGTGATTTGCTCATGAATATTGAAAGGTACCCTGGGTTAAAGTAACTAACCTGGGAGACTGGAGCGATAGCACAGCGGGTAGGACTTTTGCCTTGCAAACCAACCAGTTTGCAAAGGCCGACCCAGGTTCAAATCCCAGCATCCCATATGGTCCCCTGAACACTGCCAGGGGAAATGCAGAGCCAGGAGTAACCCCCGTGCGTCGCCGGGTGTGACCCAAAAAGCAAAAAATAAATTAAAAAGATCGTTGATAACCTTGCATACATATTCAGTGCCCTTGGTTTTTAACTTGTTTTCCTCTTGAATAGAGTTCTATTAATAGACTCACGGTCACGGTCCTCCCTTTGTTCATCGATTTTCTCGAGCAGGCCCAGTAACGTCTCCATTGTGAGACTTGGTACTGTGTTTGGCATATCGAATATGTCCCGGGTAGCTTGCCAGGCTTTGCTGTGCGGGCGAGATACTCTCAGTAGTTTGTCAGGCTCTCCGAGATGGGTTGAGGAATCAAACTAGGGTCGGCCATGTTGGCTGTGTGCAAGGCAAACGCCCTACCCGCTGTGCTCTCGCTCCAGCCCATTAATAGACTATGAATAGTAATAAAAAGGAAGGTTATATGCTTAAATATTTTTTTAAAAAATGAGAAAGTTTTTTTCTATATTTAAATTTACCATTGTTATGTAATACTATATGCTTAGGAATATAGATTCACACCTTGATAACCTTGGTATATGTATATATTATACCACACCCACCACCAAAGTTCTGATACCTTTCACCATAATCAGATTAATCCTCCTCTGTAGCCAATCTTTTTTTTTTTTTCTTTGTAGGGAGGGGGTTGTTTAGGCTACACTAAGTTGTGGTAGGGCTTACTCCTGGCTCCTGACTTTGCTCTTAGAGATCACTCCTGATGGGGATCAGGAGACCATATGGGTCTCCAGGGGATCACGCATGTGTTGGTCAGATGCAAGGCAAGCACCCCACCAGCCCTTCCTTCCCTCCCTCCCTTCTTCCCTCCCTTGCTTCCTTTCTTCATTCCTCTCTTCCTCTCCTTCCTTCTTCCTCCTCTCCCTCCTCCCTCCTTTTTTTTTTTTTTTTTTTTTTTTTGCTTTTTGGGTCACACCCAGTGATGCTCAGGGATTACTCCTGGCTCTACACTCAGGAATTACTCTTGTTGGTGCTCGGAATTCTCCTGGAGGGCTCATGGGACCATATGGGATGCCAGGGATCGAACCTTGGTCAGCCGCATGCAAGGCAAATGCCCTGCCTGCTGTAATATCTCTCTGGCCTCCCTCTCTCCTCTCTCCTCTCTCTGTCTTTCTCACTCTCCTCCCCACCCATATCTGTCTGTCTCTGTCTCTGTCTCTCTCCTTTCTCTGTTTGAGCCATAGGGCTTATTACTATCTCTGTGCTTAGTGATAGCTCTGGCGGGCTTGGGGGACCACCTGGGTGTCAGGGATGGAGCCTGGATCAGCTATGTGCAAGGTAAGTCCCTAAGCCACTGTATTCTCTCTCTAGACCCTCTTGCCCCCTCTTGACTAAGTCTTGCCCCATCTTTCCCATAAATTATAAAATCACTCTAATACCCTAAAAGCTTTATTTGCATATTTCACAATAAATTTCTTATGGATTAATTTTGGTAGGTTTTTGTGTGGCAGGGATCCAGGAGAGGTACAGAACTGTAATTCTAGCAACATTCTGATTAAAACATAAATTGTGACTTTTAGAAATCTAAATTGCGGGTCAGAGTGATAGTACAGCTGCTTAGGAGCTTGCCTTGCCTGCAGCCGACCCTGGTTTGATCTCTGACGTCCCATATGGCCCTGTGAACCCTCCAACAGTGAGCACAGAGCCAGGAGTAAGTCCTGAGCACCACTAGGTGTGGCCCAAAACAAAAACAAAAAAAAACCCTAAATTTTAGGGATTGGATATTTAGCTTAATTGCCTGAGCACATGGGCTGGAGCTATAGCACAGCGGTAGGGCGTTCGCCTTACAAGCGGCCAACATGGCCGACCCGAGTTCGATTCCTCTGCCCCTCTCGGAGAGCCCGGCAAGCTACGGAGAATATCTCACCCGCACGGCAGAGCCTGGCAAGCTACCCATGACGTATTCGATATGCCAGACACAGTAACAAGTCTCATGATGGAGACGTTACTGGGCCCGTTTGAGCAAATTGATGAACAATGGGAGGACCGTGTCGACTGTGTCGGCCTGAGCACATGCTTGAGCACTTCCAGGAGTGACTACCCCCCTAACCAATTCCACCCAGCCCAAGTAAAGTCAGGAGTATTTTCCTGAGCACTGCCGGATATGAGCCCTTCCCTCCATGAAAAAGAAAGTAAAAGAAATATAAATTCTAGGGTCTCATTGAGTTTAGTGGTTAAAGGCGCCTAGTCCCAGAAGCTCTTTTCTGGAACCCTCAAACACTCCCCTGAGAGTGTGTGCAATCTCTTATACGACCATAGCTGAAGATGTAGGAGCACTGTGACAAGGAATACAATTCCCAGGAAGCAAGTGCCCACGCCCTTGGCAAGCCCTAAAACCAGAAATGCACTCAAGCCCTGAATCAAAAAATAAATAAATTTTAGCCTTCAATTAAGATCAATTGTAGGAACTAAAATATCCACATTTGGGGTGTTAATTTTTTATTTCGTTCATGTTTTGGTTTTGGGACCGCACCTGGCAATACCCGGGGCACCTTATGGGGTGACTGAGATCAAATCCTGGTCAGCAAGGCAACTGTACTATCTCTTTGGCCCTGGTATTCTTTATTTGCTTGTTCGGATTTTGTTTTAGGGTCACACCCAGCTGTACTCCCAGTTTACTTCTGGGAAGTCTTTTTTCTGGCTGTTAGTTGAGGGATCACTCCTGGCAGTGCTCAGTTCCAGAGATCAAACCCAGGTTGGCAATGTGCAGGCAAGTGCCCTGCCCGCTGTACTGTCTCTGACCCCTGGATATTGGTTTTAAACAGTATCAGGTTACAACACAGGTACATAAAAGAATACATCCCTGTGGGCTGAAAAGGTGGTACAAGCGCTTGCCTTGTTTGCCATGAAGCCTGTTTTAAATCCCTGAAGCTAGAGGTCTCCTGAGCATCACCAAAGTTCGATTACTCCTGAGCAAAGAGCCAGGAATAGCCTCAGGGGGTGTGTGTTCTGCACCCTGCCTCGACCCCCCTCCCCCCTTGACCTTTAAATGAGCTCATATGGTGCACAGAGGTATTTTGTGAACGTGGCTCTCAGGCACCTGGAAGCACAGGGCGATGGGGAGAAGGGTGCCCGTTCCTGACTCCATGCGAGTTCATGATCTTTTTCACCAACCTTTTTCACTGAACGTCTTCCATAGTGAAGCAAGTATCGTTCTTTAGCAAATTCTTAATTTCTTTCCATTGTGTGACTATATCACATTTTACTTATTCATCAACTGATGGACATTTGGATTTTTTTCCACCATTTTTTTCATAAATAATGATGCTCTGAGCATTGGTGTGCAAGTGTTTATTGGACCTGTTTTAATTTTTCTTGGTTGTATACTTAGGAGTATATTTACTGGATCCTACATAATTCTGCAGTAATTCTGTTTTATTAATGAACTACTAGACTTTTCCAAAGTGATTGCATCATTCTCATTCCAGCAGCAGCTGTATATGAGAGTTTCAATTTCTCTACAAACTTGTCAATATTTATCATCTGTCTCTTGATTATAGCCATCTAGTAGATATAAGGTGCTATTTCATTGTGGTTTTTTCGTTCTTTGTTTTTTTTTTTTTTTCACACCAGTGGTGCTCAGGGCTAACTCCTGGCTCTGCACTTAATGGATCACTCCTGGCAGGCCCATGAGACCATGTGGAGTGCCAGGTATTGAACCTGGCTGGGCGGTGTGCAAGGCAAGCGCTCTACCCGCTGTACTATTGCTCCGGTCTTCATGATTGTAATGTGCATTTCCCCAATGACTAATGATGTTGGACATGATTTTATGTTATTTCTCACATATATATTATATTTAGATATTTTCAAACTCAAAAATTGTTACCGTCAAGTGTAGCTCACGGTGGAGCACTTTGCCTTGCATGTGAAGACCCTAGGTTCAATTCCCCAGCACCATACACACATAAAATACTGTTTTGGGGCCAGGGACCCTTCCAAGCAGTACTCAACCAACTGGGTTCGACATGCCGGTGCTAGTGCTTGAGGATACAGATCTGTTGAGGCCTTGTTGTGCCTCCAGGGCCACCTGGTAGTGTTTGGGAACCTCCGGGAATATACCTATGGGTGCTCAGGGGTCCATGAGGTGCTGGGGATTGAACCATGAGCATGATCCTGGGCATGCAAAGCGTGGGTCTCTGGTCTTTGTACGCTCTCACTTGCTCTCTGCCCCCCTCCCTCTCTTCCTTTCTCTCTTTTTCTCTTTCTTTCCTTCTCTCCTCTCTCCTCTCTCTTTTTCTCTCTCTCTCTCTCTCCCCCCTTCCCTTCCTCTCTCTCTCCCCATCTTTCTCTCCCCTCCTGCCTTTCTCTCCCCTCCCTTCTCTGCTGATTTAAAACTTTGTTTATGTGTTCTGGATTCAGGTCCATTATTTTCAAACATTTTCTTCCTTTCTGTGGATTGTCTTAACTTCTTGAATGTGTCCTGTAATGCTAGACTTTTTTATTTTGAGTCATGTCTAGTCCAAGCTTGTGAAGATTTACTCCATGTTTTGAGTCATATCTAGTCCAAGCTTGTGAAGATTTATTCCATGTTTTCTTTTATGAGTTTCATAGTTTTAGCTTACATATTTACATCTATTCTGAGTTCATTTAAATAGTGTGTGGCATAGGAATAGATTACTTTGTGAAATTCTTATAACTAGATTGTGGACAATGACTTAGTTTTTAAGATGTCATTTTAATCAGTATTTGTTACTATTGTTTAGGGAGTAAACTCTAGAAATGCTCGAAGGCCTCCACCTAGCTCTGTAAACACAGGAGGCATTACAGAGATCATGGCAGAGGGAGGTGAATTGGAGTTTGTTAAAAGGATCATCCATGACAGTTTACAGCTTAAAAAAAGATTAAGGTAAGTTGGTTATTGCAGCATGGGAATATTTTCTCCTTTTGTAATTTCAAAACCATGCTAGTTAGATAAATCTGCTCAAAGTAATTCGAAGACAGATGAAACCCAAAAAGTAAGTAAGTTCTGTAGTTTGCCAAGCCCCTGTTCTGACTATGGTCTCATATGAGCCTTTCATTGATTTGTGTTTCCTGTAATCATCTAGACACAGTTAGAAAAGAGGAAACTACCATATGATTGCGTTGCTCCCATTAATATGGTCCTATGATGGGACAAAACTAATTCAAATATGGCTTTTGATTAGAAAACAGATGGGTTCAAATCTGTCCCATGAACCAGAATAAATTAGTCCTGGAAGCAATTTATGTTTTTGGAATCGGTCTCCCAAACAGTGACAGATGCGAGGACATCTAACTGTCAGAAGCTTAATGAAGGGAAACTGAGATCACTAACCAGTTCCAATGGAGATTTAAGGCTGTTGTTTCTTTTTAAAAGCTAATTATTTAAGATACCACACCTGTCATTAAGCAGCATAAGGTTTTCAAAAGAAGCTATTTGTCTCACTTGACTTCTTACCCTCCTCAGTGTTGTTGAAATGATGAACTGAATGGTAGGTCACAGCTAAGAAGATTTTCCACCTTGGATTTAGCTTTGGGACACAGGGATTGTTTTTTAAATTGGGATAAAATGCACATTATCAAATTTATTATCCTACACAATTTAAAGAATGCAGTGTTATATGCAGTGACATATTTGTTCACAACTTGTTCCAGAACTCATTCTTTTCTTGTAAAACTGAAACTATGCCCAATAAAGAGCAGCCCCCCTTCTGTAACACACCCTCTCCCCCAGCAGCCCCTGGCAACTGCCAGTCTGCTTGTCCTCTCTCTGAAGCTGACTTTCCTACATTCTTCATCTTAGTGGAATCAGGCAATTTTTGTCCTTTTGTGACTATCTTCTTTCACTCAGCAGAGTGTTAGCAGGGTTCACCCAGTTAAAAGATATATCAGAATATCCTTCCTTTTTAAGGCTGTATAATATAAACAGTCTGTCATATGCATGTAACCATATATTGTCTATTAATGTGTTGATGGATTTGAATTGCTTTTTACTTTTTGATTATTGTGAGCAAACATAGATATATAAATATCCAAAACCCTACTTTCAGCCCTTTCACCTGTATCAGGAGTGGAATTACTTGCTAAGAAAGGCAAACACAGGTAGTTGGGTTTGTGTTTAGCCAGATACTTAATGCTAGAGCTAGGAAGGTAGCTCAGACGGCTTGCACGCAGAGGCCCTGGGCTAAATCCCAGGTACCACATAGCCTTTCACTATTAGGCCTGGTGGCCCCAGCAGCACCAGCAGTGGCCTTGGGCTCCTCGAGCGCTGCTTGCCCTCCATCGCCTACCTCTTTCAGACCAATAAGCAAGATCATCCCAGGCTTGGAGAGATAGCACAGGAGTTCAGCTGCTTGCCTTGCACGTGGCTGGCCACATTTGACACCCAGAACTGCACATGGTTCCCAAAGCACTGCCTGGAGTGACTCCTGAGCTTAGAGCTGGGAGTCAGTTCGGAGTAGAGCCAGGTACTGTTCGAAAACAACTAACCCAAATATATATTCTAGGTAATGGCTTGAAAACTCTAGGCCTTTGGTAAGAGGAAAGGGATAGGCACCCAGGCAGTGCTCGGGGGGCCACATGATCACCTGCAGTGATACTTGGTCAGCAGCTGCATTGTTCAATGTTAGGGCCTAAGGATGTGGGGCTGCTTGGGTCCAGTGGTGCTGGGGACACTAGAACCACCCAGAGGAGCTCGTGGGCCTCTGGGCCTCCGGGCCTCCACGGCTGTATTCAGTGATACTCAGAGACCGCGTGATATTGGGGTTCAGTCTCACTCCTACACATGCAAGGCATGTGACCCTGATTGCTAAGCTGTCTCTCAAAACCCCTTTCATTGTTTTTTTCCCTTGTGTTCTGGTGATTGAAACCATGTCTTATGAATGTAAGGCATGCATTTTGTCATTGAGCCATATCCTGAACCTCTGAGCATTAATTTTGTAGTGGAAGGGCCACACCTGGCAGTGCTGGGCACCCTGAGCCCACTGCCCACAGAGCTGGGCCCAGCAGTGCTTGTGCCACTTGGTGCCACCAGAACTTGCCTCGCAGTGGTGGGTGGAGAGGCTTGTAGTACCAGGAGATTGAACTGGGGTTTGCATGTGCTAGGCATGTGTTGTGCTGCTCAAGCTATCTTCCCAGTCCTGATCTAGGTCTTTTGAATTTATTGCTGTTTTCTCATTGGTAAAATGGGATTTAAAAAAACTAGCTACCTCAGGGGTTGGAGTGACAGTGTAGCAGTTAGGGTGCTTGCCTTTCACACTGCCAACCCAAGTTTGATCCCTGGCACCCCAGATGGTCTCCCCAACTCCACCAGGAATAAGTCCGACGCGCAGAGCCAGAAATAAACTCTGAACACTGCTGGGCATCCCCACACAGACACACCCATCAAAAAATAGCTACCTCATAGGGTGATGTATGAGAAGAATCCATGTTTGATATAATGAATAATAATAATTGGATCATATCTTACTCCTTTGGCAGGGGGTGAGGGGATTGGACTATACCCAGCAGTGCTTCAGGACTACTCCTGGCTCAGTACTTGGGGGTTACCTCTAGTGCTTCTTGGGAGACTGTGTAGGCTTGGGGATAAAACCTGGGCCTCCTAGGACCAGAGAGGTTGCATAGTGGGTAAGCCATTTGTCTGGCCTGGAGCCAGTTGTGGTTCAGCCGTGGCACCACATGTTGTCCCCAAAACCTGGGATCCATCTTGCCTCCCTGACTTCAGAGCCAGGAGTAACCCTGAACACTGCTGTATGTTGACACCCCTCCCTACCCCACATCAAAATTTTTTAAAAAGCTAGAGAGACAATACAGCAGCTAGGGTGCTTGTGGCCAACCCAGTTTCAATCCCTGGTATCCCATATGGTTCTCCCAAGCATTGCCAAGAATAGTATCTGAATGCAGAGACAAGAGTAATCCCTGCACATCACCAGATGTGGCCCAAAAACCAAAATAATAGTATCAATAGAGAAACCTAGTTGATGCCACCTTGACTGGATGGTCATTTTATGTGGCACTGGAAAGGACAGAACAGTACCGCTGTGCCCTTCACGCTTGGACAACCTGAATCCAGATAGGAGGAAATTCACACAGACCAACTTGCTGGGTTTTGTCAAAATAAGTCTTCAGAAATATTAAGGTCAGAAAAGTAAGAGAAGAACTGTTCCAGATTGAAGGAGACTGCAGAGACTTGACACGTAAATGAAATGCATGATCCTAGATTGAATCTTTCATCAAGGGAGGAAATTGCTATGACGGATCTCATTGGGATAGTTGGTATAAAATCTGAGTCTGTACTCTATTTTAGATGATAGAATTGTTGTGAATATTCCATTTTCTCGGTTTCATTATTCAGTTATGAAAGAGAATATCCTTGTTTTTAAAATCTACATGCCAAAATATTTAGGTTTGAAGGGGCACAGTGATGACTGTAGTCAGATAACTCAAATGCTTTAGGAAAAAGCATCCACACAGATTTTGAGCAAATGGGAGAAAATGTTAATTGGTGAGTCAGGGTGAAGAGTATACTAGAAATATTTGTACTAATCTTGCAACACTTCTGTACATTTGAAATTATTTCAAAATAATTTTCTTTGAAACCTACTGTCTCAGAGGAATTACTAACTGCAGCAATAAGTAGAGTGCTACTTTTATTATTAAAAGAATATAATGGATTTAGAGTCTCTTGGGTAACTAGATCTTTTGTTCATTTTTTTTTTCCTACTTGCGTTTTGATTAGTTGTCACAAAATGCCTGTTGAGAGTACCTCAGATCTACTGGATAGGGTTTTTTTTTCCTCTTAAAGTGAAGCTAAAATAGAATTTCTAGTACATCCAGTTACATCTGCTTTATCTATAAGACATATATCACTTGCAGAGAACTATATATTGATGAGATTAAACTTGAAAAGTTTTACCATGCAGTATTCAAGGTAAAGTAATAAAAAATTAAATTCGGGGCCAGAGAGATAGTACATTGGGTAAGGTACAAGATAGTACCTTGTACACAGCTTACCTGGGTTCAATTTCAGCACCACATATGGTCCCCCACGCTCACCAGGAGTGAATGGCCCAGAAAAATCAAAACAAAGCAAATTAATTAAATTGTCAATAAAAAATTAATAGCCTATGTTAAGTATCAGTGACATTTAACTATTCAAACCTTTACTTAGCTGGATATTTACTTTCCCTCATTTCTTGAGGAATTTTATGCTTTTTCCTCTTTTCTGGACTACTACTTGGCTTCTGGTAACTTTTATCCAATCTATTCAGTATTGCTAGCTTTAATTTTTGGTATTTGATTCACACCTGGCAGCTTTTGGGGCTATATCCAGTGCTTGGTGCTCGGGGAACCAACCAGGGATCCAACTTGGAACTCCTGCCTAAGATGCATGTTCCAGGCATTCGAACCATCTCCCAGCCCAGGGGATGCTGATTTTTAAAAAAAGTTATTAACCTATTTTACTGATACTATATGAGCACCTAATTTGTCTTAATTTTTTTCCCCTTTATCTTGTTCATAGCATACCAAAGGATTTTAACTCCTGGTTAATAAAATCTGCGTCTATACCCTCTCTTCTTAAACAAAGCATATTTTTCTTCCATATTTCCCACCCCCACCCTTTGACCACACCTGCCGGTACTCAGAGCTTACTCCTGGCTCTGTGCTCAGGGAGCAAATCCCCGTTGACCACATGCAAAGCAAGTGCCCTACCCTTTATCTTTGTGCTTGCTTTACATTTGGTTGACCGTGGTTTGAATCATATCACTGAATCCCCCAAGTACTGCCATGGGTTGCTCCTGAGCATACAGCCAGGAATAGCCTCTGACTACCACATGTCTCAAAAAAAGCCAAAGGGGGGAGGGGTGAGCCCCAAATTTTAAACATCCT